TTTTAAGAAATCTCCTAAGAGTTTCTAGATGAAGCATCTCACATCAGAATTTTACAAGTATACACGCACACATACACAACCTCCATCAGGCGTGCTTTGGTTGGATTAGGTCCAAATCCCACAGGATATCGTTTATGCAAGTTTATGCTATTTCCCTCAACTCTGCTATTGAAAAAATTTCATAATAAAGCTCTTTACTTCTTTTGCCCCAAAGTCCTGTATTTGTTAAAGCAATATTAGAGAAGAGAAATCACAGAAAAGCAGCCACCTCATTTCTCTATTGGGATGATAGCACCAGTAAACATTTATATTAAGCAATCAGCTAACATCTCCTATTTCCCTCCACCGGAAGTTTGGGATTCAGGCTAGTATTTCAGCTGCTGTGTTGTGACATATTACAGAGAAGAATGCAGGTCAAGTGCATGCAAGGTTTTATAGTTTCATTTCAAACTCAAACCTCCACGTTGCAATGTCCCTGTTTTGAAAAGTAGGTAGGAATACATTTGTCTGAACATTTTTTTCCCTGCCTATTGGCAGGACTCCTGGTGTGGCAATGTAGGATCAGCACTGGACTGCAAGCCACAAGGTTGACAGTTCAAACATACCAGCTGCTCTGTGGAAATCCTATACAAGGTATCAATGAGGCGGAACTGACTCGACAGCACTTAACAACAACAATGGCTGTTTAAAAAGATTACAAGGTATCTCACCTCTACAGAAAGTCTTAGCACAATTATTAATAGGTCTCACTCTCCAGCACATGTGGCTGTCAGTCAATCCTCTTCATTTTCAGAATTCTCCTAAAGCAATCAAAGTGCTTGTTAAATTCATTGTTTGGAGATTAGACATTGCCACTGTCTATCCCTGTGGTTCACACATGAAGGCAGCACCAGGACAATAGAAGAGATGCCAAGTCTGTTCACATGGGTGGGTGAGTCAGAAGCCCGCATGGACAGAGAGTGAGATCCAAATTGTGTCTTGTAGCCTTAAACAAGGCAGCTCCAATTTTAATTAGGTAATACAAACAAAAATCTGTACCCCCAAACACCATCAAATCAATGTTGGCAAGAAACTAGCAGAGAAGTCTCTGGCTGGTAAAACCTGTCATTCTGTGTCCTTATCAGAGAAGCAAGATGTTGACTAAAGGGCTTCTAGTGCTTCAACCTCAGAAGCAAAGACCCCTCCTCCCGCCACCAGCACTTACCTAAGCAAAGGCCAAGAAGCAGAAGGAGCAGCTTGGGCTCCATGGGACTTGGGTACTGCTGGACACTGGTAGCAGAGTGGTGGCCCGTGCGGCTCACTGGCACTCTTCGACTGGACACTCAGGGGGTGCCAGAGAGTCTGCTCAGTGGAGTTATTGTTTTACGACACCTGTTTGTGGCAGTGACAGCTGACTGGGCAGCCCTCGGCCCAAGGAGCCTCAGAGGCCTTACACTCTCTGTAGGTGTGCCTCGTTTTACAGTCGCTTTACCCTTGAAAAGTTGAGAGCGTGAACTGCATCATATTTTATGTGCAATATATGAGTCGTGTATTAACTTACAAAATTAAAATAAGGAAAGAATTCTTGGTGAACAACTCCCCCTCCTCCCTTTAATGCATCAGAATCTCATCTTTTTGGGTTGATTTGATTAGGGCCGTTTGGTCTGATCAGATAGTCAGCTGTTTGCAAAAGTTCACATTCTATAAAAAAAACTAAAAGTTTGTGACCCACTTCAAATGAATTTAAGAAGTGTGAGGGTGGTACTGAACTTGCTGTGTTTGATTGGATTTGGCTTTTTAACAAAGATAACTTCTTCCATAAACTGGTTTTACTTGCCCCTGCAGTGATTGTTCTAACCCCTGTGCCTGCGAACAGGCAATACTGGCCCAAGCAGGGCCATTAGCTGCAGCAAACTGCCCCACCTCCCATGTACTGTTATTCAAGCGAAACTCAGAGTAATTAATGGGAAGAAATGTCCCACCCAGTTCAGTCATGGCAGGCGTAGGGAAATTGAAAATGTGAGTGTACCAGAACGATAGGCAGAATATGAAATTTTACAGGGCGAAGACCTAGAATGGGAGGCTGGAGAAAGGTATATTGAGCCCTTTCAGAAGCCTGCTGCAGGAGAAGAATTATTGCCGGAACTGTGGAGAGGCAGTCTTTCCCTTCCTCCCTCCTTGCAACTAGATGGAGCCACGTGTCGAATTCTAGCCAATGAAATGTCAGGAGAAATTTTATGAGGCTCACAAAACCTCCCACCACAGCTCATCCTTGCTCTTCTATCCTTCCGTCTGATCGGACCCCTAAGTTAGCCTCAGAAACTACGTACTAAAAGTGGTTTTGCTTTAGACACCCTGAATCCTTCAATTACTTCATGAAGGTACCCCACGGACCTAGGTACCTACCCAGTACTACTTCATGAGTGAGAACAAAACATTTATTGTCTTATGCCCTGGAGATACTTCGGTTTATTTGTAAAGCAGCTGAAGTTCCCATAACTAATACAAAATTCAATCCATTGAACAGGGAGTCCTATGAGTAAAAATAAATCCTAAACAGCTAGCAGTACAGAAAGAGGCAAAAATATTGATACCGAAGGCTGAAAAGATTCAGGAGACCCATGTTATACAGCAGAGAATTATTTAATAAGATTGATTGCAATTATTTGGTGAGCAAAGTGTCTACCTCACTTGTAGCTCTAGGAGAAGAGATTGGAAACCCAAAGTTTCTGGTGTTTGGTTCTTAAGTGTTTTTCTTAGCAAGTCAGTAAAAGAAAGAGCCAAGCTCAGGCAAGAATTGGCTGTTTCAAGAGCAGAAGTGAGAAAGCTGTTTCAAGAACAAGTCCAGAAATTTGAAGTTTTCTTATGACCCCAAAGTTAATTGTTCTCTGGCATTCCATGGTATATTCAACGAAAAAAACGGAGACCTTCAACAAGATGGATGGGCTCAAACATAGCGACAATTAGCAGCATGGGAAAGACCAGATTCATTATGTTATACATACGATTGTATGAGTCAGAGGTGACTCAGTGGCCTCTAACAACCACAGAATGAACAGGATTTCCTGAAGGATTGGATTGGGGATGGAAGAGAGGGAGAAGCATTAATGTTTTGCAGGGTTTTGGCGTGTGCATTAGGAAAGACTTCGTGTTATTGTTGTTAAGTTCTGTCCAGTTGGTTCTGACTCATAGCGACCCTGTATAGGGTGTCCGAGGAGTGACTGATGGGTTTGAACCACTGACCTTACGGCTAGTAGTCCAGTGCTTATTCTACTATGCCACACCAGGACTCCAGGACTTAGGTACCAACAAATGAGTTTGGAATGAAGTAGGGGAAAATCAGTTCTCTTAGGAGCATGATGAGTTTAAGAGGTTTTTCTAGAAATCTGACTAGGCAGCAGGAGTTAGTTTATGGAGAGTTCTTGGCTACAGTAGATTGTGCTTAAGGATTCAAAGGAAGGACTGTATGCAGAGAAGAGAGCTAATATTAAAAAGATAGAAAGAAAAGGAGGAAGCAATAAAGAAGAGTGAGAAGCCAGATCAAGAACATGTACAAGAGAGGGCAAGTGATTCCCTGTATAAAATGCTCTAATTGGAGGTGGTAGATAAATACCAAAATAACCATGGAGGACAAAAAAGAGGAGAGGAAGTAGAGGAGAATGCTGCAAAAGGTAATAAAGAAATCAGTCGCTAGCTGGTGGTGAGGGACAGTAAGTACTCTAGGGTTTTTTTGTGTGTGTTTTGTTTTGTTTCCTTTTGTTTTAGGATGGTAGAAACAACAATAGGCTTGTGTGGTGATCATAATGAGCAAACAATAAAGAGCAAAAAATTGATTATGTAGTAGAGAGCTGGGAGAAAACACACATGGAAATGCTTTAAAATATGGTATTTACTAAGTATATTTTTCTATAACTTAAAAAATATGTTGTAAAATATGTTCCTAGTCAAAGAATGTGGCTCTATATCTTCATTTTAAACAGCTTGGAATATTCTATTTTTTAATTCTACCATAATTTATTTCTTATTGGACATTAGGTTTATTTGTTTATATTTTTGCTATTATAAACAATCCTATAGTGAGCACTCTTATATTTATAAATCTGCCCAATTTTCTGATGGTTACCTTAGGTTATACTCCTAAAAGTGGAATTTCTAGGTCAAAGAAGAAAAGCATTTAAAATATCTTTTTATTGTTATTATAGTTTTTAGGTGCTGTAGAATT